TACATCCTCATAAATGTTTTACACACTGGACCTTTAATGACTGAAATGTATTAATCTTGGCTGAAAATAGTCCCTTGATAAACACACAATTTCCTGTATGGGATTTATTGACCACAGAAAAACAGCAGCTTTGTCATTTAAACACAGGAACAGAAAAAAGAACACAGACTCAAAGGTTTTATTCTGTGAGAATAACGGAGGATTTGTATCTTCGCTTACAGTAGTCGTTCAGCAGTGACGGTGCCGCCAACTCCATCACCGACTTTCCTTGCAGACTCAGAGAAGCTTTGTCCAGAACAGCGAATGGCTGCAACTCATGTCTTCTCTCATCAGAACCTGCAATGGAAACATATTACATATAAAGCCACAGTGACACAAAACACTTCCACTGATGGAAACTCACATTAAATCACTCTGCTGTGTCAGTTTTTCTCATAACCCCTGACTGAGGGCTGAGGCCAGTAGAGACACACACACATTAAAGGTCATTTTGGTTACAGAGACTTGACAATGATTTCTGTCAAACTTTCATATCTCGCTGTTCAAATGTCTTGTTCTTTGCATTTAATTTGTCTAGGCATCCATAAACTTTACAAGATAGACATCTAATGACCTTCGCTGGAGATAATGTAGACAATCATATCAGCAAACATACACATATACATAAACCTCACGCAGTCCTCAGACAGTTTCGGTTGCTGCAGTTCTGCAGATTGTTCCTGGTATGACATCATGCTGTGTTGGTCTACATATCATTCAGGTAATCAATCATTTCTCTTTGTGTGTATGTGTGTGTGTGTGTGTGTAAGTGTGTGTGTGTGTGTGTGTGTGTGTGTCTTAAAGCACTGTAAGAATGCAGTGAAAGAAATGACATTTGTGCCGTACCAGCCTGTTGAGCATTTGCATGTTCTTGAGCTGCCGCTCTCCACACCCATCCCTGTAAAAAAAATGATTCTTTTTAGATTTTGTATTTTATATCATGTTTACATTCATTTTTATTTTTATTTTTTTCATCTTTGTTGTGTTTCTCATTTTCTGTCAACATTATTATTGATATGATCACATGACACATGATAAAAATCTATTAGCTACAAGTTTCATAAACAAACCCGTTCTGTGGCATTTTCTGCAAAGCGGGGTGTGTTCAATGGAATGACATCGCCACGGTGAGATGCCTGTCCTACCAACGCTGTCTCTGATTGGGACAAAATGATATCATAGAATACATTACATTTACGCTGTGCCACTTCCTTCTGCTTGTAATCTCTGTGCAATTTCACCCATCTTTCAAGACAATATATTTAATATATATTATTTTAGTAAATTATCTCTGCAATATTCCATCACACATAACTGTATATATAAAAGGTGTATATAGTGTACATATAATAATAATTTTCTGTTCCTATTAGAACTTGTATTTTACTATTTTATTTTTATTTTATGTGTATTTTCTTATGTGTATCTTGTGCTGTATCTTGAGCTGCTGTAACAAGCCAATTTCCCCACTGTGGGATCAATGAAATCTGTCTTATCTTATCTTATTACATCACAAAATGGTGCTGCAATGGATCTACTGTGTCCACAAGGTGAGACAGCTGGACAATTGTTTAGTAATGCATAATAATTCTTTGTATTATAACACAAAACAAATATAAACAACTCCTACATTGGTTATTTTGGTTATTTTTTTTTACCATTAAGGGAGATTAAACTAATTCTGGTGGTGATATATCAACCTGTGTTCATTTATTCCATTTGTTCATTTATATATTGAAGGCAGTGTATTTTACAGTTCAACCATAAATATGTTACTCTGCAACACCACCCACTTAGCAATGCAACACTGGCAACCTAACCACTGGTAAGTTTCCCATAGTGGTGTTCGCAGTTAACAATGCTGCAGGGTGCACAATGTATTGACACGCAAATTACCTAAACAAATGCAGTTAAACAAGTCTAGATCTCTTACAAATGATTGGTACTTAACTACTACTAGTTTAAGTATTACTTTATGCCACATAAAAATGTGATGGTGAAAAACTATAGGAAACAATCTGTGTCTTCATACAGTACGACTGTGGCAAAGAACCAAAACATATTTTGAATTGATTCAAATGTGTTTTTTAATGGTGTTTGCATGCAAGTCTGAATTAAAAACATGTTTACTTTTCTTCCCTGTACTTCTCAAAGTAGCAATATAATTTAAATTGACCGCACAGATAAGCAGTGGTGGAAGAAGTAGGCTACTCAGATCAAGTATCAAAAGTAAAAGTGGGCATCTTGTTTTGCAGAAAACTGTAACTGATACATTATTTTATGATATGATATGATTATTTTATGATATATTATGATATGATATCATATTATTATATAACATTGTTAGATTGTTAATACTGCTGTTGTAGCTGCTGGAAGTGGAGCTACTTTTGCTACTTATAGCTTGGTCGCTATACTGTCAGTTTAGTGCAGTGGCTTATGTAAACTTTATTGCAAACAATTTATCTTTAAGTTCAGAATAGAATAAAATAAACTTTTTTGTCCCAGGGGAGTTTAGTTATATATATTGCATATTGTGTATATATTTTTCATATTTACATTACCCTATGCTGCTGTGTCAAATTTGAATTTCTCCTATGGGGGATTAATAAAGGCACATCTTATCTTATCTGGTTCCAAATCTAGGGGTTGGGTCCCCCCAGAGGGTCACAAGGTACAACTGCAAGGTGTTCAGATTACTAATCAAAGAGAAAAGATATATTGGATAGTTTGACCTTTGGGCCTTGAAGTTATTGAAATGAAACCATGTAAGAGGTATCTAACAACTCATATACTACAACAGATTTTTGTAAGGGCTCACAAGATAAAAAGGTTGAGAATATCTGGTTTAATCCTAAACAATGTGTCGTCATTTATAAGCCTATTATTATATTATACATTATTACAAGCATGTATTTCTATAATCTAACATTTTAATCTAAAAGTAACTAGTAAAATAAAGTAGTATGGAAGTAGTGTGTTATCAGTATCTCAGACAGGCACTTTCTTCTATGATATGGTGTGTTGTTTAAATGATACCTTGAAGGTTTCCCTGTCGGACCCTGTGCCCTGGTTCATGGTGTCTCGGTGGGGAGTCCAGCTCCAGTCTCTGGCAGACTGTATCAAACTCAAAGCTGGGCTCACAGTGCCGCCCAGTGGCCAGCGGTGTACTCGCAGCAGGACCCTCACTGCTGCTCCTCTGGATGATCCGCCTCCGCCACCGCTTATAAGACACGTGTTGGACGTCGTTTTGTCCCTGAGAGAACAAAAACAGCAAGGAATTTAAACACAAACTCTAATAGTCTCAAAATGCTGACAACTGTCCACATAAATCCAGTAGTGTCAAGGAAACGACCACAACTTCCGGGCAAAACCTTCAAAGCAAAAGCATGGTAAATGCCTTTTTCCTCACATATTTCCCCTCCAGTTCCAGTTTAGCATCATAGTATACTGTACATTGTATGTGAGTACTATTTCACCTTTAAACAGTGCAATTCAATTTTATATGCTAATATTAACAGCAGTAGCTAATATGTTGCTATAGTTACTAAGATGCTATTAAGCAGTGGTAGAATGTAACTAAGTAGATACTCAAGTACTGTAGTTAGATTACAGGCACTTGTACTGAACTTTAGTATTTGAGTATTTGTATTTAATGCAACGTTTTCTTCTCCACTATGCACAAAATACAAAATATTAAAAACAAAAACAAATAAATTATGATATATTATTTATATCTACTGTATCTTACTGTATAATGAACCATTCTGTATATCGAGTACTTTTATTTTTTGAAGGAACAGTCGTGTAGCTTCCAGTTTGCCGTAGTGATGTCTGACTTCACTCAGTTCCTCTCATCGATCCGCCCCCAGACTTTTGGCAGGAGCCCCCTGTTCTCCGACCGAGGCTCGTTCTTGCCCCTCCAAGATGGAGGCCTTAGGGGGCTACCCTACCAAGTCCTCCAACCCCAAAGCCAAGAAGTTAACGGTCCTGCTGAGCATGACAGTCGGTGTGGGCTGTTTGTTCCTGCTGCAGACGCAGCTGGTGAAGCCCAGAAAACCAGAGGATTTTTATTCCTTCGAGGTCAAAGACGCGAAGGGGAGGACGGTCTCTCTGGAGAAGTACCGAGGAAAAGTAAGTCCACATCATCACCAGTAGTTTCAGTGTGAGGAGAAATCTGTGCAAACTTTGTCCAAGTTATCCAGAGTCAGTTGAAGGTCGGTTTCATTACATTCAACTTATTTCTTATAGCGTTTCTCATTGCATGGTTATGCCCTGTTTTTCCTCCCCTGTGCAGGCGTCTTTGGTTGTAAACGTGGCGAGTCACAGCGAGCAGACGGAGGCGAACTACAGGTCTCTGCAGGAGCTCCACCGGGAGCTGGGCACCTCTCACTTCAACGTCCTGGCCTTCCCCTGCGGCCAGTTCGGGGACACGGAGACCGGGACCAGCCGGGACATCGAGGCTTTCGCAAAGTCCACATACGGCGTCACCTTCCCCTTCTTCAGCAGGATCAAAATAATGGGCTCAGAGGCGGACCCTGCCTTCAAATTCCTCACAGGTTGGCAGAAAGACATGAGACCACATCTGTCTGCTGCACCATATTTTAGAAAAAGACACCACTGCACTCAATATTTGAAGGGACAGTTTGACATCACTATGATTAAAGTCTATATTTACATTATAGCTTATTACATTAGCTTCAAATGATGACTTTATGGCAGCTGTCTGAGCTACGATCAGGACCTGCACCATTACCACAGGGCTGCAACTAAGTGTTATTTTTATGATAAAATAATCTGTCCAAATAAAAATCAGTTATTATTTTAGGCTATAAACTACTTGCTTACTTAGCCTGACCCGGTTCAGTAGTATTCAGTTTATACTGGAAATCATTTGTTAAGCTGGAACCAGCAGAATTCTTTTTATATTTAACAACTAAAAGACTTCAAGGAACACTTGCTTTACAGAAAGGACACTGTCATGTCCCATACAACATATCACAACACACAAATTACATAATTATGCTCTTGATTTGTCCCTGTATTACATTAACTGGAACAGCCGTTCCCATGGTTTTTAAATGAACTGTTTTCCAGTTGCTGGGGAAATGCACTATATCTCGATCTATATTGATATATTATATATATATAATCTATATCACCCACTTTTATTAGAGAATAGCAAAAAGCCAGAATTTTAACACTGCCATCAGGTTTAGGTTTGATTTTATTTAATCAGTCAGTTTGACATAAGCAAAGAACAATAATCAGCAGTATTCAGATACAATACTCCACTATAAAAAAGTCATAACCTTAGTTAAGTGAAAGCATATATTATATCAGCAAAACGTGCTTAAAGTATCCAAAGTAGCGCTCATTCTGCAAGTAAAATTTTCCCTGTCAGTATTTTACTATTATGAATGGTGTTTTAATGTTTTAGTTTGTTAGTTAGTTTAAAAATGAAATAACCAAATTTGGAGATCAATGGTTTTCACTGGACAGGATATGTATAAAAAATCTGAAAAGTAACTAAAGCAAATGTAGTCGAGGAAAATAAACAATATTTGCCTCAGAGATGTTTGGAGTAGAAGTACAAAGTTGCATATTGGAAATACTCAAAGTACAAGTACCTTTGATTTGTACTTAAAGTGTAACTAAACCCCTACATTCTGCTTTCTCTCCCCCTCCCAAAATACTTGAGTAAATGTACTTAGTTACAATCCACCACTGATGATCAGTATTTACAAGTCGATTCATGATAATCACTGGCAACATGCAGAGCGTCATCAGAGTTTCTGGCTAAACGTTGGTCATATCGGTACCCTTAATGACTGTCTGGTTGTGTGCTGTGTTTCAGATTCCGTGAAGAAAATTCCAAAGTGGAACTTCTGGAAGTTTCTGGTGAATCCTGAGGGGAAAGTGGTCCGGTTCTGGCGGACGGACGAGCCCATGGAGATCGTTCGACAGGAGGCCACGGCGCTGGTGCGAGAAATCATCCTCAAGAAACGGGTGGAGCTATGATGGAGCCTGTCGAAAGATGCCGGTGGACACGTCCGTGTTAGCCGGTGCTTCCTGTGCTTTGACAGCAGAGGAATGACTGGACTCTTAACTGTCGCAAGCGAGTGTGGACAGAAACAGGGATGAAAAGATCCACTAGTTTGGGCCACAAAGGCAATGAAAGTCACATTCGAGGCTATTCAGATTGTGTGTGCATTTGTGAGAGTATGTGTTTGTCTGTATGTGTGGGGACCATCCTGTGATTGATAATGACAGTCATAAGGAACATAATGACCACTGCTGCAGCTGAAGGATTGTTTAGCCATTGAAGTGTGATTTTTACAAATGTTCAGTTTGGCTTAGTCTGTGCTTTGTACCATCTATTTCTAATGTTTACATTAAAGTCTATTTCTTAAGGTGAAGCATATCATTTTGGCCCATTTTGACTGATTTGAACCTTGAATATTTTGAAAACATCCATCCAAGAATAACATGATTTTATAATTATTTGATTTAGCTAATGAGTTCAGGAACTTTTTTTGCAGGTTTTTCATGTTTTGATGGCCCAGTGTGTGACATTTAGGAGGATCTATTAGCAGAAATGGACTATAATAGTCATACGTATGTTTTCATTAGTGTATAATCCACCTAAATATAAGAATTCCTGTGTTTTTTGTTACCGTAGAATGAGCTGTTTTACCAGAAGAAGTGGGTCCTCTTCTACAGACACTGCCATGTTTCTACAGTAGCCCAGAACAGACAAATGAAACACTGGCTCTAGATAGGGCCTTGTGCATTTTTTTAAATTTTTTTGTGAGTTTCGTAGTGTCTACTACTCCCTTGGAAGACTGTGCTGTAATCAAATGGTTGCAAACTACAACTTCACCGCTAGATAACACTAAATCCCACACACTGGTCCTTTGTTTATAAATGAAACCACATCCACATGAAGATTCATAATGTTGATGCCAAGTAATGAAACACAAATGTATATTGGTTAATAGTCTGATGAATGGCCGCAGAAAAACAGCTTCTTTCATCCAAAGTGCAACTGCAGCTCTGAAGCCTAACCTGCTGTTTGTAACACATGTTCATTTCAGAAGTCCTCTGAGCTGCTGATTTAAATGGACAGTTGGAGGGCAGCAGCAGGTAAGCTGGCACACATAGAATCAACCAGCTAACAAGACACTGCCTACCAGCCACCCACGATAAGAGCGGAAAAACAGTTGGTCATACAAAGGCAATATTGTCCCTCCAAACCGACCTTTTTCACAGCAACCTTTTTGATATGAAATGTCAAAGTAGGGTAAACACAGGTGTTACTAATGATAATTAAGGTTCTGTTGCACTCAGATCGAACACAGTGTTGTAATGTTGTATGTTGGCTCATTGGAAAAGTTCTGCTACGCTAAATAGAAACATTAGTGTCACTGGTAACACGTGTTTACCCTAATATTTCATGTCAAAATGGCTGCAGCGAAAAAGGTCTGTTGTTCTATTGTAGATCAGACAAGCTGCTAAATTGCTGCATCTATTTCAAAATAAACCTAATTCCTAAACATCTCAAAATCCTGTAGGACGCTCGCCTCCCGATCCCAACGTGTAATGAATGAGTAGAGTCAAATGTAACTGTTAAGGTAGCAGAGCAGTGTGAGCTGGCAAAAGAAAACGTCAGCTAACATTACACTGCCTCCCAACCAGTCACAACTCATAGGCCGACTACATGCAAATGCATGGATTTGACTATGTTGAACTGATGCCGAATGTTTGTCACTGAGCTAATGTAGAATTTAAGTGGGTTTTTTTTTGGTTCATTCTCCTCCCAGCTTTATTCAACGGTTGACTTTTTATTCTACAGGTGAGTGACGTCCATGTGGCAGTGTCTGCGGGATGTTTGAGGACAGTTGGTAGCAGCAGTGAGGAGTGCAGCTGACAGCTGTCAATCAGATAACACAGCCTGCAGCAGTACACTGCCACACTGTCACCACCGGCTGCAGGAGATGAAGGGGAGGATGCAGCTGGCAAAAAAACCCCATAATGTGTTGATTGTTTTTGATCCAGATTCCCTCTCTTACCTTGAAGGGACAGCGTCTTCTCCTCCCTACGTAATCTCTCAGCATTGTCCTCATATTGTCCTGGTTATGAAAACAAAAACACTTTAGTCAAGCTCATTATCATCAAAAACAACGTTCTCATAGGCTTAACTACAAAAGAATAATGAAATCTGCATTTTCACATTTTATTCAGAGAGTTTGTGCTTAATTTAGTAATGTTGTAATGAGTAGCAGTAAATTGGTGTTATTTTATGGACATTTAACAGTAAAGAAACATTTTGTCCTCAGGTTGCTGTTGACCAAAGAGACAGAGATGTGTTGAATCGGTTGCCTAGTAGCAGCAGCAGCAACAGGTCTTAAGTGATACTAAGGAAATACCTATTAGGCTATTTAAAAAATAAATATTGTATAGATTACTCACTCAGTCATTTGAATCTCCACGTTTCAGACGGACCTCCAGTTTCCATTACATGTGTAAAACCTCATCCGCTTCCCTCTGAGACCGCTTTAGGACCCGGTCCTGCCCGGTGCACCTGTTGTCTGCTCTCCTGGACGGACTGCGCTCCTAAATACTGTCCCCGGGCGGACGGCGGAGCGGGAAGCACCGTCCTCTGAGCTGCTATTGGTGGATAGTTTTTCATCAAGTAGGCCCACTCCTGTTCAAGGATTCCCTCCGCGTCCTGGTCTCTACTGGAAACAAATAGACACAGTTAAAACACACACACACACACACACACACACACACACAAAAGAGCAACGCGGTAATGATGTAAAGGTTGAGGCGGCTGCATGTAATCAATTAATAACCCAGACGAGGACATACTTTTATTCCTTACACAGGTTTTATTATTTAACCACCAGACTCAGCCCACCATGGCCTTCATCGGTTGGCTGAAGAAAATATATTCTATAAATACTAAGGATGATGATTATCAGGAAAGGCAATCAGGTAGTCTATATCATACAGCACGTTTCAAACACAAGCGATTTAAACCAAAGAGTCATGTTTAAAAACATTTAAAAGGAAATAAGAGCACATATTTAATTACTGCAGAAAAAAAGACAACAACAATAATAGTAAATCTATTTGATGTTTGCACTACCATAGTAACCGTATATTGCTGTCACATTATGGTTATAGTTTTACAACGTCAGCTAACATTACACTGCC